GCAGTTTACAGTTCTGACTGTAATAATTCACAACTGCTTTTGAGGCTGTAGCACTCACCAAGGAAAAATTCTTTTTTACACCTTACCATACTGAGCTCCCCCATGACCGTGAAGGTAAAGATACTTGCTGAGGGGTTTTGGAAGACAGCATGAGAAAAGGTTTTCAAGGACGGTATAGTGCACAACATAGGGATATTCAAGCTAGCATGGGAATGGTAAGCCACCAGCCAGCACAGTGTGGGGCTCATCAGGCAGCAGTCCACTCTGTCCCCAGCACCCAAGCCTCCTTGGCTCTTCCTAGGCTGCACTATGGAAATGATTTGCTTTCACTCCTCTTACAGCAGCTTGGGAACAGATATATATATATTTCAAACAACCTTTGGAAACCTTATTTTCTGATATGTTCCTCCTGGCTGCTTGCAAAGCTACTCTGAATCCTCCTTGTTCTTTATGCTCTGCTTGTTAATGTTGCTGCCTTTGCCCTCCACAGTGCCCAGCTCCCTGGCACATCTTCTTATTGTAAAACAGAGCCACCAGCAGAAACTTGTGATAAGCCTCAGTGCAGGTCCAATCCCAGAGCTAATGGAGACAGACAAAAATTATACTGAACTGGGACAAATCTGTAAATTTAAACACCCATCTTTTGTATCATCTAATGGTATGTCAGAAGATCGTCACAGTCTGAAAGAGAGTAACACAATGTGGTTTCCTGAGACCGGGAGAGACTGGAGCCAGTGACCCAGGAGGTACCATCCCTTCCCATGCTCTTCTTTTCTTTCCATGCTCCCTTCTTGCTGCCGCACATCTAAATTTAGGCTGTGAACTAATTTTAACCGTAAGAGGCATGGGGTTGACTCCTTTGAGTGTCTGACACACTGCAGGAGCAGAGTAACTAAAACACAAATGCTTATGTAAATTCATCTTTGATTTTGTAATCAATTTAGCTCACTAATTTGTTGCAGGGATTGGCTGAAGTAACATGCCAGAATTTTTACTGCCTCTCTGCCATAAAACTGACAAGCATAGGTTTTCTGTTTTTGTTTTTACTTCCTTTCAAGTGTAATAACTTCCCTTTTCATAAAATGCCAACATATTCTTTTAAAACTGTCAGGCTGCCATCAACCTGGTCATGATCCAGTGCCAGGCCATAGCCAGACAAGATGAGTTACAAGGTAATCTTTTCTCTGCCAAACAATACAAAGATATTGGCACCTTTCTCACGGCTGCAAATCAGCTCAAAGGGCTACAGAAATCAGAAACCCAAGAATCACTTCTTCCTCTTTTCAGTGTTTGCCTTGCAAGGAAAGTGGCATTCTGCAAGGAGCCTAATGTTTTCATTAATAGCACGCTGGCTTCTTCCCTTCCTCCAAGCCTTTTCCTCCACAAAAGTCCTGGATATGATTTTAATGAGACTGAGGATAACACCCCCCCCCCCCCCCCCCCAAAGTTACACACTGGATTCCTGAAGACTGGTTTCAAGGAAATGTTACTCCCAAATGAAATACAAAGCAGATGCACAACTTTGGCAGGGAAGACTGCACAAATGCCACCAGAAAGTGAATCACTGTCTCAGCCTAACTGGAAGTGCATCAATATTCCTATCCAGGAAGGTCATGCAGCAGTAGAGACCATCCCTGACATCATATAGAAAAAACAGTTCAAAAGGCCACAGAACTGGAATATTGACCCCATTTTTTCCATATGACTGACATGAAAAATGAGGGTTTATGAAGTCCACCAGCTGGTAAATTAATGCATCAGCATAGTAAGAATTTTTAGACAGAAACTTAAAGCACTCGTACTTTCATGAAGTGATTTTGAAACTGCACCTATGTTCTTCGCTGCTACAGTCCCTCCAAATTCTTGTTGCTTTTAAGTGATTTATGTGGGTGGTACAGAACTTCCTTCTACCAACATCCCTCATTTTGGATTTCAGCCTCTTAACTTTATGGTTCGGAAAGAGCATCAAAAATCGTGATGAAAACAAGTGTCTCCATCCAGTGCTTTCTATGCCTCTTATCCTAGTAAATGCAAAACCAGTATCTTTGCACATGCAGAGAATGGGTAGGGATTGCAAGAAGATCCAGTCAGTGCTGCTGGCAGAATGTTCTTTCTTTTTTTTAACAACTTTAATTGCATGACCATAAAGTATACAGTTAGCCCAGCAGCATTAGTGCATCAATCCCTTCTCATACCAATTCACTGAGCAGCATGGTACTATGGTTGCCAAGCTGAGAAAAGTTAGCCTGGGCTCTGACTGAAGTCAAGCTGGTTTTGATTTGGCCTGCATAGCACCACCGGGAGCAGAGATTCATGGAGCCAAACCTCTGCCCTCAACTCACTGTGGACAACTCCCTGTTTCTAATAAGGTAGAACAAGGGTAAATTAAAGGCAGGATTTGCAGTCACAGTAGCAAAATATTTAACAATGCCAAGTCTTATTCCAAAACTGAGACAGCTGCACACTCTGGCAATGCCTGCAGCAATAAAAGTAGTAAATAGCAATTTCTGTCCCAAGAGCACGCATATAGGGATATGTTATCAGGTATTTGCTGATAATGGTGTGTTATGAAGCGATAATGGTATGTTATGAAACAACAATGGTATGGAGGAAAGGTGAAATTTTTTCAGAATGACTTTCAAAGTAGAAATGTCCTCAGGAAGGCACTGGGTTAACTAAGTAACTGATACTTATTGATATTACTGATAATTACTTGTCATTAGAACAAATATACATGTTTATCCACACACAGTACTTGTAAAAATGCCCACCCAACAAGTATAGCAGCCACACATGTACATTTTGAAAACTTGGACTATCATTAGTCAGCTTTTGGCTCAAAATAAATGATTTCTCAATAGACAGTAGCCATTCAATAAAGGATTTGGCCAACATATTATCTCTGGGAAACCTGGATGGGAATTTATGGCAGTAGGCTACAACTCCCTGGACTGATCAGGGTACATAACTCTAGTATTCACAATTCTAGTGCTTGCGTCCCTTAATCCAGCATAAGGTATCATTAGAAATGTAATGTTTACAGTCACATTAGAAATCAGAAACCCTGAAGCACGCATTATTCTAGAGATAGTAGCTGAATATCAAACACATTAATTTTAAGGCACGAAGTTTGAGACAAGCACGCATAGGATGATAGTAAAACTTTCGTGATAATACGGCTCAATTGTTCCGGAAGCATGAAAAGAATGATTAAAGAAAATAAAAAAGAGAAAGGTGACACAGCTCACTGAAAGCATGAAGTGATTTGGGAGTTTGTCTAGTTCTGCTTAGGAAGCCAAACGAACAACTCACCAAGGGAAAACGATATTCAGTGAGGAAAGGAAATCAGATGAATACACAATTTACACACTGTCTAGATAAGAGGTATTTACCTTCAGATAACTTTAAATTCAACTACTGAAATCAAGTATTTCCGGTCTCCAAAACTCTTGTGACTTAGACCAACATCTTAATAGCTCTAATCCATGTAGTTGGAGATGAAAAAAGAAAGGAAAAAAAACAAAGAGAAAATTAAACAGAGCTTGAGGTATGTTACACTCCAACTTGATCTGTTACTGAATACAGAGCAAGATAAGGTATATTCAATAAGGAAGTCCTCAGGCAATCTTCTGCTTATAGAGTACTGTAAACAAAGTAGCCCTCTTTAGCTTGCTCAGTATATTTCATATGAAATGTTTAACTAGAAAATGGTATTATATTAAAAATAAATTTCCAAGGAGAGTTGCACTTCAGCTGCACTCCAAAGCTCAGCGCAAAACATGAGGCATGCAAGTTCTGATGATGGAGAAACCAAATTTCCACTCTTAAATTTATATAGCATAATTAGTGACAAATCTACACACAAAAATATTTTTTTAAATACTTTAGTGGTTAAGCAGCACCTTCCTTTCTGATGAACTAATGCTATTCTTTACATCAAATCTAACCTCACTCAGTAGTTGCTTTTGATATCAAAGTGGAGACTGGTGCTATGAAAAAATATTAAAACTGGTGTAAAATTTAATTTTACATGCTCTTTAAGGCATATTTAAAAAGTTGTAAAGGTTGTCTTGATATTATTGGAACCCAGCTTCTTTGCTTATGCATGAAAAGCCCTTTAAGGTTTCATTCATAGCACCATAGACTCATTTAGGCTGGAAAAGACCCTCATATCATTGAGTCCAACCACTTGCTCAGTCTTCCTGTTCTGTCTCTTGTTTCCTGGAAAGCAGCAACATACTAGCATAATACTTGCCAGTGAACCATGTAAATCCAATGAAAATGTACACACTGGATCTCAGTGGGTCAAGAATCAGCACCAGGATCATTCTGCTCTTTATCTCTGTGCTAGTCTCCAAGAAATAGCCTTTTACAATCCCAAAGAAGCCAGGAGGACAAGAACTAACAACCCCATTTTACACATTGTGACCACAGCTCCAAGAATTTTTGACAAAAGCATGTGAAAGAATGTGGGGCATAGGTAAAGGGGAAAGCCCTCAGAGTATGTGCTATCAGTAAGCTTGCCATCTTTTCATCTGGGTGGAACCTCATGTAAAGGGGCCACTGCTTTTGCACCAAAGCTGTAAACTAACTTGAAAGACTAACCTTACGAAAGACTAATCTAACTCCTCTCGTAAAGAAAGGACTCATTCTTCTTAGGAAGTACCTTATGCTGTTGGATGTAGGAGAGTGAGAATTAATTTTGGACGATGATCTAGGTGATGCACTCATCTATAATGTAACAGGAACATTTTGAAGGAAAATAAATACAGATGAGTCCTCTGACATATGAATAGTAGCAGAAGGGAAGCTTGATGTGTTCAGCATATGGCAATACATAGTTTTTAAGTCTTCACTAATATAGCTCATGAAATGTTACCAACATACCTTGAAAAGAGTGGTATTTTTTAATTATCTTTATTTGTTTTGACATTTCAGCCTTTACTATTTACACACTCTTTAGCATTAATGTTGAACCAATCTGTCTTTATTTTAGCAGGCAACACTTTATTAACACTCTAGAACTTCAAGTTTCCTCAAAAATGCCTTCAACATGCAATTTGAATGACAGCCAGCCATAAAAGCTACCTCAAACTGAAAAGAATTAAAAAATGAAATGGACTTTGGAATGAAGAATGTGTAAGTTCAGTTACCTAAGTCTTATGAAAATATAGCAAACACAAAGAGTAGATGATGTGCCACAGGGAAAAGTCTTACACAGGCTGATTGCCTAATCAACATTTCTTTCATGGATGCACTCTCAGTCATAGCATACTGGTGAGTAAAGAAGTGCCAGTGCTTTGAGTTACATTCACATGCCAATGCAAACTTGAGCTGCATTTAACATATTTGCCTCAAAGAAGAAACATTTCCATAGTAACCTCATAGTTTACCTCAATCCCTCCACCCTAGGCACCCTACAGCTGGGAGGGGATCACTTTCTGCAACATAAAATGGGAGTGAGAAAAGCCTAAATATTTGAAATAGTTAGCTGTATTTAACTTTGTAAAAAGTAGTTTACCTTGAACACGCATCCTGTTTCCCCTCCATGCTCTTAGCAGCATAGTGGAGCTCTCAGCAACACGGTGGTGACTCTCCACTTCAACTCCAAGGGTAGCTGTAAACCTTCACAGCCATGTTTTGCCCTGGGTCATTTGCTTCAAAGAGAAAAGTGAAAAAGCAAAACAGGGCACAGAATTAGCACTGTCCTTTTCACTCCTGTGGCTGACCAGGAGGGAGGATTAGCTTCTTTTCAGAAATCCTCCAGCCTTTAGCCTTTAAGGCCCAAAGAGAAATAATAGAATTTTGCTTGTTCCTCTTCCTGGGGGTTTAAAATGTCACCAGATTTTAGGAATTGAACCAACAGGAGAGGGAAAATGTTCTCACAACTAACTGCCTTCCTAACATTCTTTCCCAGCATTCATGGGACAGAAAAAAAAAGCCATAATAAAGTGCCTACCCTGCCACACCTGGTCATTATTAATTGCACAGTTAATCACACTGGAAAGGCCACACAGCCTAACTGAAGCAGAAACTTGGGCAGAAATATGTTTTTGTTTTTTTTTTTCTTTTTACTGTTGATCTTCCACTGCTTTGTGTGTGTGGGTAATCAGAAACTGTCATTTTCAGGATGCGTGGATGGCAAAAGCTAGAACTGACATATTTAACTTGGGAGGAGGGAAGGTGAGATTTATGGTGAATGGCAGGAGCCAGTTAAAAACTAAACACCTGTCATATTAAATAGAAGGAAACCTGCTATCTACCGAAACTCTACTGAGCAGAGTCCGACCCCACCTACAGAGAGCTTGAATTACAGGATATTTGTTATAACAAACAGAAGAATGCTAGGGAACCCAAGACAGGAGTCAGGCTGGGCAGTGTTGCAGCTGTCTCCCCAAGGTGATAACCTTTCCCCCAGTGCAAAGAGCAGCCCTGCCATGGAAGAAATTGTCATTTGCAGAGTCAACCTCCTTTTTGTTCCTTGGCCTCAAGGCTAGAAGGAAGGTAGTTGTCCTGCTGTTTGTGGCTATGATCCCATGGGAAGTGCTGCCCTCTCCACTTATAGGGAATGGAAAATAAAATGTTTTACATGAGCTACAGAGATTCTTCAAAAATCATCAGGCAAGGGAAAGGGTAGGCCTATCAGTGGTCATTTGGAGAATGCTTCCCAATGGCCAGCCCAAAGGTCCTTACCAGAAGAAGCTGGGGAACTCAGGACCTCACATGTACTAGGACTGGTCTAATACATCAAGAAGCAGGATTGCCATGGGAGAACAGGCCACGCACTCCTTGGAATTCCGTGTATCTGGCTGGCTGATGAGAGAATATGGCTGTAGTTCTCTTATAAACTAGAAATAAGACTAATGGCATCAGAAGAATTGCAGGAGGGCAGAGGTAGTAAGAAAAGGGAACATGCTCTCTGATTATTTGACATAAAGTGGGTGAGAAAACAGATTCTATCTTAGGAAACTACTATATAAGAGCTAGCTAGGTTAAATATAAGAGCTTGCTAGGTTAGGTCAAACAACAGGCTATGTCAATGTCCTGTTGCTGACGGAATGCAGCAGCAGATGCTACAGTAGGTGCACGAGAAACATAGCAAGAATAAACCAATCCTCCTTGAGATATTGCTTCTCAGCTTCCAGCAAACCCAATTATTACAGGGAGGATATAGAAGAAAAACCAACAAATCATATTCCTGCTGATGTGCTTCCTGGGCCTGTATAAATCACCATCTTTGGGTTGCTACCCTGGCTTGCCCTTCTTTCCTCAGTGTTTTCTCCTGCTCTTTAGACTGATGGCTGCTTCACAGTACATATGAATGGCACCTAATAAAAAACCCCATTTACCTTGGATGACCCTCAACAAGGTCTACAGAAAAAACTGTAGGTTAAATCCCACCCTCATCTAGAAAAGTCAAATGAAAATGGAACAACTTATGTTCTGCTTTTGCTTGCAAAACTAGAGGGATGATAGATAAAGCCCCTCACGATGTAACCTCTCCCTACTTTTTCTGCTGCCAGAAAAACAAAGGAATGGAAAACAAGTATTTTTTTTTTGCAACTTTTCTCCTTTCCATCCAATGTTAATAGTATAGATCAAGTTCAGAAAGTAAGCTGAAATACAGAAGATACAATGCAAAGCTACTACTCCTGCATTCTTAACACCTGAACAATCTGAATATTCATTACAGAACTAAGATAGCACAGAGGATTGAGAGGTCAATCACTGCCTTCCATATACAAACTGAATATGCTATAATTCTTTCCATCTTCTTACTTAGAAACAAATAAAAATTTTGTTTGAAAGCAAAATTGGTCATAGGAAGCAATGGCAAGCGTAAGCCACAGAATTAGCGTAACCTACTTGCTCCCCAGTGTATCAAAAGTGTATGCATGCAGCTGAAAGGTTTGAACAGCTATAACTGAAGGGAAAATTTGGCCTGGTCTGTAAAATCAGGCTAAAATGATAGTCAGATCCATACTCAGTACAGCTTCCCCTCCCTCCCTTTTTTTTTAAGCTTCATATCCACTAGTTTCATAGCTTAAATGTCTTGCTGAAGACTTACTTTAAAATCTGATACTAAACAGCCCAGCCATAGTCCTGATACAAAATACAGTACTACAGATGACACACTGGGAAAAATAAAACAAAATTAACATACCAATGTTTGTGGCTGGACCACTATACCATTACTGGCATTTTGCTTATGTAGTGATTCCATTGGTGTTTTGCATTACATGGCAAAACCATAGGTTCCCCTTCTAAGAAAAGACTTGCTTAATGTGCCAAATGGTACATCTGGAGAGAAGTACTGCCAGCCTGCAATGATAAAAAAAAAAAAATTATTAAAAATAAATAAATAAATTAATCGGATGCCTGCTGGCTAGGTTTCTAAATGAGGGTGTTCCTCATAATATTTTTATTGAGAATCATATTTTGGTAATGTGTTGTCTAAAGCTTTCAGGCCAGGAAGTGTCTTTAATCCATTATTCTATGGCTTTTTATTTTTTTGGCAAATCCTGTAGCTGCAGGGGAGATGACTGTGGGTTTGGTGAGATAACATGTATTATCAGTGCTTTGCTTTATCTTGTTCATTAAAATATTCTGTTGCCTTCCACTGTCAGAGACACCGTCAGGCACAGAATTTGTTTGATCTTTGACTGAGTAATGATGTTAAAATGAAGCCCTTTGACTTACAGTGTAGATTTAGTGTCATATGGTATTTAAGGCTTAACACATCAGAGAAAACAAGTAGAAAGGACCTAGTAGATCAGACCTGGTCCATTAGAACGTGTTTTTCTGAAATGTATTAAACTACTACCATACAAAGTCTGGTCATCCCTTCCAAGCAGTGACTTCTGCCACTTCTTCAAATCAAGCTGTTAATGGCAATGGGATTCCTGCAGGGGGAGCACCTCTGTGCCCCTTGCCTATTGTTACAGGGCTCTGGACAGCTAAAAGGATCTGACTATGCAACTCCAAGCAGAGGCCTGAATTTCAGGAGACATCCACATGAAGTTTTCAATTTAAGTAGCTTCAAACCATGCCTCCTTTTTAAGTGTTTTCTTTCTAACATTTTCACAGAAAGAAAAAAAAGAAATCCCAAGCATTTTAGACTCCGGAGATTTAAGTTTGCACAGAATGATACAAGCAGAGGTCAGATCTGCAAGGATTTCGCTTCAGTGATGTAAAATATAACTGCTATTAGGAGAAGTAACATAATAGATGTCATGTATAATGCTACTGCAGCACGGTACACAATTCATAGTAGGCTCAAGACATCACCAAACACATCTGTCCCAGCACACACGGCAGGGATACAAAGATGCCTTGGAGCAAGGCTTTGCATTGCTAAAGCTGTGCCAAACCATCTGAGAACAAAACTGTACAAATCTGCAGCTGTTTCAGAAGCTGAAGGAGTGCTCTGGTTTTGAGGTTTGTAACAGGCCCTGCATTAGAAAAGGCCATCCAAAGAATACGGGTGATTTTTTTCCATGAAAGGTGAATGATTTTCCAACCGAATACCTCCCTGATCCACTGATTCTAGCCATGTTTTCTGGAGCTTTTGGAAAGAGACCTACATTATAGATCTCAGAACAAGTGTTCCGCTCTAGAGTTGTTCATAACCAGTCTGAAATTGTCTGTGGACCATATTAAATACTCAGTGTAGGAAAAAAGTGATGCCTTTTTCTAAGGAGTATTTCATACCAAAAAACTGCATGAAGCAAGTCAAGATAGCTGGGACAGGGTACTTAGTACAGCACTATGAATGCTTCAGGGATGACACATCACTGCATGTGACAATGTAGACACAACACAGGTAAAATACTTGAAATTCTGTAAAAAGGCTATGGGTCATTATTGACTCGCACTGCAAGGTTAGGGCTGGGAGGGGTAGGAGAGAGAGATGTGCATTTCAGGGTTACATCTCTTGGAAGCTGTCTTTATGCTGTGAAATTTATCAGTTAGAATAAAGACAGTGATAAGAGTTGGCTTAGTCAAACTGCTGGTTTTGAACGGCACATGTATGGCCACACCTTGCCTGCTTCCCTGCTAGTTTAGGTGCATGTAATTGTGCTACTGACATTCATTCAGCTCTTCTGGGTAGCTAAACTACTTCAGCCTTCAACTAGGTAATCACCACTTGCCATCGTATTAATGAATACTGAAAAATAGAATGAAACCCATACTGACCTTTCAAAAAGTCCCTGTCATAATCTCCCTTACACAGACAAGCTTCCGTGTTTCATGATGTAAATGGTATAAATTGCTTTGACGTTTATTAGTGCTTCCTCCATCTGGAAGCACCTTCTCACAAACTGACTGCTCACATTAAAAGACAGACTTGAAGTTTGCAAATAAGTCAAGTCTGGCAAACTCATCTGTCCTCAAAATATATTGACATTTCTCATCTCACACAGCAGTCCCTTTATTTTCCCAAAGATCAGAATTTTTACATTCCAGGAGGTAGCTTTCAGGATCGCTCTTTAGCTCCTTCCTGAAGAAACATGTTTAAAAATTGATCTTATCTATTTCCCTTCTCTGACACAGAACATTAGTGGAAATTTGAACAAAGAATTCAGAGCAGCATGCCTGTTGACAAGTGGATAAGGAGTGTCTACATTTAGACACAAGCTACTGAACTTTTCAAACAGGTTGGGGATACTAATCTCTATAGAGCCTGATGTTATTTGTTTACTCTCAGTGTCCAGACCTGTGCTTCATTTTATTGAATAATCAGCTCTGAAGTCTTCCCCATGGCACATAATGTGCATCTTTTATTTTAGTGTCAGACAACAGATGTACAAGGAAGGCTCACATGGCATATATCATGAATTCCTGTTAACCTTTTTTTTTTATGTAGTGAAAACATTATTTTTCCTCCAAAAAACTGTAATTGTAAAAGAACAAAGCTCATAGTGAAAGTAGATGTGGCATGGTTTTATCCTATGATAAAGTAAAAGTTCCTTAATATTTAACTTTCATAATAACACCTAAATTAGGTACATGCTTTCAGAGACACAAACTGTTCCAAGCCTTGCTGTTTCACAGGTGGTGGATGCAGAGACTAAGTGATTGGCTGAAAGTAACACAGCAAGCCTGTGGCAAAGTAAAAAACTGATCCAAGAACTCCCAACCATATCCTGGGCTGCATCAAAAGGAGTGTGACCAGCAGGTCGAAGGAGGTGATCCTACCCCTTTATTATGCTCTTGTGAGACCTCACTTGGAGTATTGTGTACAGTTCTGGTGTCCTCAACATAAAAAGGACATGGATCTGTTGGAACAAGTCCAGAGGAGGGCCACGAGGATGATCAGGGGACTGGAGCACCTCCCATATGAAGACAGAGGGAGAAAGTTGGGGCTGTTCAGCCTGGAGAAGGCTGCATGGAGACCTCATAGCAGCCTTCCAGTATCTGAAGGGGGCCTATAGGGATGCTGGGGAAGGACTCTTCATTAGGGACTGTAGTGACAGGACAAGGGGTAATGGGTTAAAACTTAAACAGGGGAAGTTTAGATTGGATATAAGGAGGAAATTCTTTCCTGTTAGGGTGGTGAGGCACTGGAATAGGTTGTCCAGGAGGCTGTGACTGCTTCACCCCTGGCAGTGTCCAAGGCTAGGTTGGACGAGGCCTTGGGTAATATGGTTTAGAGCGAGGTGTCCCTGCCCATGGCAGGGGGGTTGGAACTTGATGATCTTTCGGTCCTTTCCAACCCTAACTATTCTATGATTCTATGATTCCTATCCGTTGCCTGAACCACAAGACGATTGTGTCTTCCAACTTGCATTATTATTTTGTACCTTTATATGTCGTTAGTCCTCATCATGCCCTGTTAAAACTGCTCTCAATACTATAGAAAACACCATTTTTATCATCAATAACCCCCATGTTCAGCATCACAAGCCCTCACCCCACCTCAAGGGAGGTCCAGGAACCCCTTCCGTCACTACTCCCAGACACACAGCATTGACAGCCCACCTCTCAACAGTCCTGTGGACACAACCCCACAGACCTCCTACCTCTTCCCAACCTCTTGAACACAATCTGACTTACAATCTATTTACTAAACCTGCAAATCGGGCAGCATAGCTGCCAAACTAGGTGTGGTATGTGTGTGTGTCTCTGCTGTACCCATTAGTGTCTTCAAGGTACCTGTGGCTCAGAAACCCCTTTCCTACCTGGTCCATGCTCTCGCTGGTGCTGAGCAGCTTCACACAGCCAGCTCCAGCTGCAGAAGCAAGATGCCAGTGCTTGTGGAGGGACCATGCAGTAAATGACACCTCTGCAAATACATTTTTGGAGAACTCAAATTCCAGGGAGGAAAACCTCAAAGCTTCCACCTTCTCGGGGGGATGACTGAGAACATGGTAACAGAAAGACTGTATGGGAGAGATTCAGAAAAATACAACCTGCCTTTAACCACTTCACACTACTACTTGTCAATGGGAAATAAATACATGTGTGTCTCTGAAAGCATCCCTGATGTGATACGTTGTGTAAAGCACATGCCAGAAATCTAGGAATTGCATACCACTGTTTCCTGGCACTGACCACCACAGAATGGCTCACCGTACCTCACATTCACATGTGGAGTGCCTCAGGTTCTTGCCAAGTGAAAAGAAATTGTGGTGGTTTAGAAGCCATCAAATCCAGCTTCCACAGCTCTTAAAAAATGCTGTGGGAAAAAATGAAACAAGCATGGAAAATATTTGCATAGAAGAATAAATTAATATGGAAGTCTACAGTGCATATAACATTTATCAACACTTAAAATAAGTGTGATTATTTCCCCCTTGAAATTTCTTTAATTTTCACAAACACACACACCTGGGTTTACTGTTCCATAAACCACTTCATCCAGATTTGTTCCTAATAGCAAGATTCCATAACTTACAATGGACCAAAACTTAATAACTGGATCCTGTCGATAAATGCCAGACAAGTTGTGATTAAAAAAGATTTTTGGGATGAAGATTCCTGAGTAGCCATGGAAAAAGCCACATATTGATCATTTCAGTTCAGCGTTCTCCCTTTCCCAAGGGAAAGAACATGAAAACATGCATTTGTTTGCATCAGTTTGAAAGGAAGTGGTAGAAAGAATGACTGTAGTACTTCCCTGTCCAACATTATTTCCTGGCTCTCTCAGCATCTTCTGATGTTTGAGGTGAACCTGCACAAACTGTAACTTTGCTAAAATTCTCAAAAGATATGAACAACAAAATCAAAATTAGGTAATAATGGATACGCAGTACCAATGCCATCTTCTTTCTCTCTTAGTCCACCAGCTGGACCTAGCAAAGCCTATCCAGATTTGTATTTGAACCCCACCAGCACCGGTGGGAATGTGTTATTCAGAAATCTCAGAACAATGGAGTTTATTTCAACATTACCACTGATTTCTGGTCCCTGTCTCCAGTTTGACCAGTTGCCATAGCAAAGTGAGGAAGCTGTGGAATGGCAATGGTAGCATGACAGCAGATAAAGAAGAGGGTTATCATCAGACTTACCTTACAGTGATCATTTATCAATATTTGAGTTATGCCTTCCATTATAGCATTTTCCATATTCTATTACAGACTTAGAAATATCAAGGAAATATTAATTTCAAACTATTAAGTTATTCCAAAGGTGATCATTTAGAAAAAATAGAATACCTTACTCATTAATTTAGTTGCACAACATGGAACCCGAAGTACCAGTACAGGTTGAGGGCTGACCTGCTAGAGAGCAGTTCAGCTGAGAAGGACCTGGGAGTATTGGTGGATGATGATAAATTGACTATAAGCCAGCAGTGTGCCCGTGCAGCCAAGAGGAACAATAGTATCCTGGGATGCACTGGGAGGAGTGTGGCAGTAGGTCGAGGGAGCTGATCCTCCCCCTTCTACTTGACCCTGGTGATGCCACATCTGGAGTGCTGTGTCCAGTGCTGGGCTCTTCGGAACATGAAAGACCAGGAGGTACTGAGGAGGGTCCAGTGGAGGACCACAAGGATGATCAGGGGTCTGGAGCATCTCTTATGAGAAGGGATTGTGGAAGCTGGACCTGTTTAGTCTAGAGAAGAGCAGACTAGATGGGGATTTCATTTGTGCAGATCAGTATCTCAAAGGTGGGTGCCAGGAGGATGGTGCCAGACTCTTTTCAGTGGTGTCCCAGTGACAGGGTGAGGAGCAATGGCCGTAAACTAAAATACAAGATGTTTTACCTCATCACAAGGAAGAACTTCCGCTGAGGGTAGCGGAGCACTGGAATAGGTGCCCAGGGGGGCTGTGGAGTCTCCCTCTCTGGGGACATTCAAAACCTGCCTGGATGCTTTTGTGTGTAACCTGCTCTAGGTGACCCTGCCTTGGCAGGGGGCTGGACAGGATGATCTTCCAACCCTAGTGATCCTGTGAAAGCAGGACTGTGCTCTTCCTAACAAGCATAAGGTGGAAACAAGTGGGTCTCATGTGGGTACCCATACTGTTAATTTGAGTGGTAATCCCTGGAAGACACTCCATCTGGCATATTATCCTCCTGGTCCACAACACATCTGACAATTTATTGACAAATTATTTCTCTGACAATATGCTATTACTCCTGTGTGCACTGGGCAGTCCCCAGTGTGTAGCAGGCTCCAAAAGAACATGCTACTAAACTTGAAGGGCCTCACAGGATTTAGTAACAATTAAAATAAGAGACAAGATGCTGAACATTTTGTGTGAGGGTTCCCCTGCTTAGCAAGTCACAAAATTGGATTTGTAATCCCATTAGCTTTGTTACCGCAACAATAACAGGATTTTTTTGGGGGGTGGTGTTGGGGTTTTTTTAGGAAGTAATAGGCAATAACAGTATGGCAGTGAATGAAATAGAGGTTATCTGTTTGGCACTCAAGTGCCTGATAGCTGCTAATATTGTGGGTTGAAACAGTTTAATTTAGAATTTACCTTAAGAAAGAAAAAAAAGGGTGATAAATAAAAGGAGATATGTGACTGTGGTGGAGGAGTTCTTGGGGTCCAGCATTTGAGAACGATCAGTGGACTGGGCACTCAAGGAGAAGCAGCACTACTGTTCCCTCCATACCAGCTTCCACACAATCCTCCCCCCATCTCCAAAACATCCTTCACGGCAATAACTTGCCCTTGGCATGACCCATGTTTCCAGCTAGTTAAGTCTTCCTCTGTTCCCCCATTCCCTCAGAAGGCATCAGTTTTCTATTTTAAAAATATCAAGTCACCCTATCTCAGCTGCATTATAAACAAAGACAAACAAAACAATCCAAAACAGTTTTGTGTGTGTGGAATGAGAAAAAAACACTTCAAACCCAAAGAAGTTTCCAATAAGTCACTCATTGAAATTCAGGAAGAAAAAACCCCAAAGCGTAAAAATACCCCCATGTATCCAAGTTCTCTGAGGCCATTTCTTTCCCTCATCTGTGTTCCATCATCTTCTTCCTTATCCAAAAAAGTTGCGGTGTCCGTGGGAGTATGAAAAAACATTGGTGTGACCACCGAAAGGAACTCTCTGTCTGGCAGCAGAAAGCCACGCGTTATCCCGTCTCCAGGAACTAAGCCTTGCTTCGACGGTCATAAATATTCTCTGATGACAAAGCAAAGGGTAGTCATTCATCCAGACTGAATAATACTTTAAAACCTTGAAAAGCACACTGGGATCTGTCCTCTGCCCCCAGCCAGAACATTAAGACCCTTGGGAAACAACCCCTGATTGGCCTTGTGTGTAGGACACCCCAGCACTGTCCACCTTCATTGTCAGGGTGTTCCAGGCAAAAAAGAGAGTTGGACTTCTCCCATTCACAGGTCCCAACCCACTACATTATCTGAGGACAGCATGAAGCTTTAAACCCTTCCCGATTCTCCCCCTTGCAAAAACACTTCCTGTGTTTTTTTGCTTCCTAGCCTCATCCTGTCTTGAATGTGTATAGGAAGCCAGTCTTTACATTATGTAGGCATTAGTGGATGCTGCTTCACAGGGCAGCAAATTAAAATACCATATTAAAGTACCATATCTGTGAGTGATCAGCCTCAACTACATCACTGAATGACACACAAACACACAGAAAGGCTGAAAAAAGCAACCAAGCACAGGCTATATGAGTAATGATAGATGGTGTATGCTATTAAAGGGTACCCAGAAATTTAGGTCACCTTTTTAGATACACTCTGCCCTTGGAAGCTTTCAAAGCTTTACAAAACATTTAGGTAAGTGTCATTAAAAGGGGGAAAGGGGAAGACCAATTGCAATATTTATTGTACCATACGGAGTAATCAGAGATCTAATTTTCAAATGTGACTTTACCTCTTGTTGTATAAATATGCTGCTGGTGCAAGCAGATCCACAATCAGCAATGTACGTCATAGCTTTGCAAAAGTGATTGATGAGAAAATTATGAGTAGCTTTCATTTAGTCAGTGGAGAAAAAAGATCAAAACGTGAGTTACTTTCCTCTCTCGGACTCCCTTTCTACCCCCAACCCAAAAAGTTATATTTACAACAAATAAATAATAATTTTATGCTTACCTGTATGCCTTCTACTTTTATGGGAGTCTCTTGAGTTAAATGTAATGTTGGCATTCAGGGCTGAAACAAGTAATAAAACTAACCTGTTTATTAGTCACTGTAGTTTTAGAATTAGATTTTCTTTTCTTCCTTTGAGAATGTAACTGATTGTTGACACAATGGAGGCCAAGCATGCATTTATGGTGCATGATATCATTGTGTGGCTAATAGAGGGAGTTTACTTATTCCACAGATGACTGCCACAAGAGAATGTAATTGCTCAATAATGTGTCGATGTACCCATGGGAAGGATTTAAGTCATCTGAGACACATATTGGGAACTTGCCAGAGACCCCAGCACCACCTCTAATTTGCACGAAATGGTGGAGTTGTGGCCATCTTCCACAATGAGGATAAACATAAGGAGGGAGAAAGTCAGGAAGAACCAGAAAGGCACCCCAAATACAAAAATCTGTTAGACCTTCAGCTGACATGAATGAATTGAAGGCTTAGCGATTTAAAAAAATCAAGTTTTTACACTTCTGAGTTGAGAGAAAGAGTAAGAAAAACCACTAGATTAAAAAAAAAATCTGAACAGTTTTAATTTTTATTTGTTAAGAGGTCTGATGTGGAGAGCATTGCCCTGGAGCCGTAAGATCCCAACAAATGTAAATGGTAAATGTATCCTCATAAAAATTATTATGATATGCCAATAAAAAAAAAAAAAGAAAAAAGGAAAAGTATTTCTCAACTAATTGAAAGAAACTAGAAGGGGAAAAACTGCTGCCCAGAGGCAGGAAATAAAAACTGTACGTGTAGCAAACTTCCAAGGGGACAAGTCAAAGTGCAGCATACTCTAGCATGTAAGATGACAAGGAGAAATTACAACATCAAAAATTAAAGGCTCAAAAAAACCCCATAGATACAACACCTGGCTGAAAACTATTTACAAACAAATCTTTGTACCATCTATACTATAGCTTTAGCTAATTGTGTATCAAGTTAAAGTGGTACACCTGATTGATTGAATACTACTAAAGCAGAGCAAAGAGCTCACTGACTATTGCAAAGCAAGTACCACAATGCATGATCAAGCTAATAAACCAGAATATTTTCTATGCATCTCAAGGACACAAAGAGTCATAGGATGAGATTCACCTTGGTGGATGCCTATTTTTAAGTATGTAGTACCTTTGACTGACTTTGAGAAGACTATCAAAATGCTTCAGTTCAGGCACATGCATTAAGAAAAGTACTTGGGTAAGTGAAGGCCTTGGTTGGGAGTTCATCATTGGATGTATTGAGCAGCTTTTCAAACCAATGGAAATTTTAACTCTCTCCATCAATGCCCATAACCATGTAAAAAGACCCTGCAGATAAAGTGAGAATGACCAGACAGCCCCCACTAGCTAGGGCAAAACTGGAATTTAAAGCCTATCCCAGTGCCCCATTGCAGAATTTTTCCTGAATTTTCAAAATGGTTTATGGGATGTTTTCTGTCCATCTTTCCCCAAGATGCAGCTCAGAACCACCTGCATACCCTTAGCACTAAAAGGTTCAACCCTGAATCCCACAGTGAGTCAAATGATCTGATTCAATGAGAAGCACTATGTCATGATGTGATGCTCAGGGCCCATATGTAACCTACTCCCCCAGAAATCCCATAGTTGTTCTGCTGATTTCAGGTTAGTTTTTCGAACTAGTCCTTTCCCCAGCTCCCCCTCTATATCCCCCTTCCAACACAATCTGATTTTTCACATTTTCAAATAAGATTTAGAAATCTGCCCAATGGCAGGTGGGTGGAGGCACTCCAGATACTATGTTTGTTGGTAGCCCAGCAGTTATTTGTGGTTGACTTTTTTGGTTGCCCACAGGAATTTCCAGGGTGGTGTAAACAGACAGATGTGGGTTCTTTTCTGCTATATAGATCACACCATAGAGAGATATCAAAGGAAAAAAACAAATCCATGAATAATGCACTGGTGGCAGCGTTTGAAGATCAGAACTTTTAAAGACTGGGCTCTAAATTTATTGGTTTAATTGCTGGGTTTGGACACGTTGGCCACCAGATAGCTTTTGAAATCAAAGCATCACTGGAAGGGTTCCTGAATATTTAAAAGTTCAAACAAAGTGAAAGCAGGCTCAAGTACTGGCAAACTCAAAGCTGCTCTCACCCTGTCACCACTGCCCTAACCTTAAATGCTAAAATTGCTCTCTCTTTCCATCAGTACCATATTGGTTTGCTTTTACTGTAGCGATGCATCTCACAACTATCCCATGGCTCTTTGCTGCTCTAACATTGGCAAGCTAAAGGGGAGGACTTCAAGGGTCTGGGTGACAAGATAGTCCTTTTGCTGGCTTAGATTAGTAAAGCTCCACTGATCTCAGGTTAACTCACATTGGCCAGGAATATTGTTCTCTTTTTTGTTTATTTGATTTTACTGATACCATTATGCAAAAATTACTTTGCCATGTGATTTTTGTGTTCCTTTTGCTCACACAAGAGACACATTGTGGCATTTTTCCCCTTGAGATTAACAAGCAGCACATGATTAAAACCATGTTAACTCAACAGTGCAACTTGCTAATCATTCTTACTCTGGAATTGCCAGCTAAAGCTTTTTTCATCATTTATTTTTTCAGGAGGATTTGTGTATGTTTCTGTCAGTCTATTTTAGAGCATGGCAGGTTAAAGAGGAGCTTTGATTCATGGCTGGACATAGATTATTTTAAGTAGAAGGAAAAAGGAGTCTTGGTTTTAACAGCATTGCACTGTCATCTTGCGGTTGCAGCGCTCAGTTCCTAACCCTTATTTGGAAATGCCTTGAACAAGAATTTGATGTGAGCAGGAAGAAACGGTGATTGCCTCACTCCTGGGGCTTGGGTTTGTTTGGAAGCCTCCTTCCTGCCACTCTTGTGACAACAAGACAGACTGACCTTGCCAACTGTTTCCACAACAGTTCTTTCCATCTCCTTCCTCCGTGAGAGGAGAGCGTGACCTCCTCCATAAAACCATCATTATTTAGAAGACTCCATCTCCTTTGGACTTCCAGTACTTCTACCATGAAGACTTATTTGAAGACACATTTTCAGGACAGTATTGTGTACAGTCCTCCTTCCTGCCTGAGCTTTACAGAGGGAATGCTCAACCACTGTCAGCTCCTGAGTATACATCTCTTTCACTACTAAGGCAAAGCTTTTAAAACTTAATTCGCTTTTTCCAACTTGTAAACAGGAACAGTTTTTGCCTCTTTTTCTGGACTGCTCAAGACACCAGCCAGCATGGGGTGCTCCTTGTAGACACCTCGAATCAGCATAAAAGAGTTTACTTCCTGAATTTGTCCAAGATGTAGGAGAGAGCTCCAAGCTAGGCTGAGCTAGGCTTCCCTTTGCCTCCAGCTGTGCCATTCCCTGATTCCTTATATCCTCCTGCTGGCTAAAAATAAACCATATATCAGAAACACACATAAAATGCACTCAGTCCCAGTGAAGTCTGAGGTAATCATCTATCAGTGCATGACTAGAAATGCTGAAATGGTAGTCAGCCTAACTAGTGTGCAGCATGAGGTGACCCAAACCACAGACTCCAAAAGCTGCAACCATATCCTCCTCCTCTGAAAGCAACAGGTGAATCTGCTATTACAGATTCTTGCTCACCTTTTACCAATATCAGGAACCAAAAGCTTAAAAATTTATGTAGTTTCTATTTGTGCTCTCACTTCAGCAATTTTTCTTAAGTTAGAGAAAAAAACAAACTCAGAAGGTCACTATTGTTATCTTCAAGTTTTGGCTTTTGTGTTTGGGCTGCCAATACTTTGAGGGAACGTTTATTTTTGCAGAAACCATTGTTAATATTAAAAGTTGGAGGGGGGGATCAGAAATAAGTTTCTGTGGGGCTCAGTGTAGTACTTGGGAGGAAAACCACTGTATTTTGGTTAGAATTGTTTACTATTGTTCCTCTGAATGGAATCTGGAGTATGCATACTGAATTCCCCATTTTCAGACAGAAATGCCTACAGCTTGAAATGTTGTAAACCATGTTTACTTCAACTTGGTTTACACATGTGAAAATGTTCATGATCTTGCAAATGGATTATCACAGATACACTTATGCATCGATTCAAATTCTTACTACCAGCAGAGGGATCCTCTGTGGGTTTTGGAAATCATCAATGCACCATTCAGAGTACACAAGGTTTATATTCTAAAACTCCCCAAATAAAAGATATTTATTGCAAGGTTCTTCAGCTCTAAGGTGTTTTAAAAGCTCAGAATTACCTATTTTATGCTCACACTTTCAAAATAACTAAATTTTGTGTTAGCTTCAGAAAATAACAACATTTATTGCAGAGATAAATGTAAAACACTTTACAAAGAGGACTGACTGCCTGTAGTATGATAGGGTTACCACTGGTGTGGACTGAAATGTGAAGAGTCTTAATTGCAGTAGATTTAGCAGAAAGGTTAGGGGACTAATCCGACTGATGCAGGATGTGTGGGAAAGTCCAACAGTCAGGTACCAAAATGCCCCTGAACCCAGGAATCAATAAGCTGCAGAGGGCAAAGCAAAACCAAAGCAGAATGGGGACATGGCTCACAGCCTGATCTTGTGGAAGCAGGAAAAGTTGCCATCTCCTCAGAGGGAGAAAATCCGCACGCACACACAACCCAGACAGTGTTAAAACCCAGCTGCCGCTGCAAGAGTCGGAGAGCAGGGTGCCTTGGCCCTGTTTCAGAGAGACCACCTCTAACAGCAGAAGACAACTCGATGGCTAATTCAGTCCTTCGCCTCACTTACCGATACTGCCAACAAGGCTGCTAATTAGTACTAACTGTGACGGTGGTTTCTGTGATGTGGACAGCTGTTTGCGAAAAGCTGGACTGAGACCACCAACTCACTTCAGACAGGCCACTAAACAGCCATCTGAGGGTAACCACTAGGTCGCTAGCAACTTGGGTTAGATTCAAACTAGTGACTTCGAGGTGAAAAGGCTCCATATTCAATTACCAGTCCCCTGAGTCATCCCATCTACCCTCTATAGTTATTTCGAAGTGCTTTGGTAAGCAATATCTGAGGACATTACATGTGTTCAAAATGCTAAAAATACACGTCTAAGAGGGCAGGGAAAAGATCAGATCACCCCAAAGTAAATTTTCCCTTCTATTTAAAAGAAAATAAAGGAAAGAAAAGGTAAAAACATAGGATTCTAAAACTCTGAGCTTTTTTTTTTTCTTTTTAAAAATATATAAAAGCCCTCCCTCCCCTTTGCCATTCCAATTAATTTCTTGCAAATATCATTAGAATACTAAAGAAAGAGACTGTTGTTGGGAAAAGGGAAAATACTCCTTTTACCTTTGTATTTTCTAAACAGCCAAATCAACAGTAGAAAGAAGGGGAAAGTATTAGAGGGTGGGGGGTAGCAGGAACAAAACAAAATGCTAAAAGATGGATTAAGAAAATCCCCATGCTGAAAATGACGACTCACAGGGATTCCACCCAGGGCTTCTCAAACTTGCAGATTTGTTTTAAGAGTGACACTGCCCTTTGCTACCCCAGGATATGGTATTTTGAATGCAGCTCCAGAGGGTCACTAATCTATTTTTGTCACCTATCCTGAGATCTGACAACTCTCACCAGGGGCTCAGTTAAACAAGCCTCCAGTTTTTAAACAAAGTGGATTTTAATTGAGAAGCACCTGTGGTGAGAGAGCCCACTGGCATTATTAAAAAGCAGATTTATCACAGTGAATCATAGAGGCAGGGGGTAGGGAGCGAGCGGGGAGGGGGGCTCCACGCATACGTCATACCTGCAACACAGTACCATTCCTTTCATAAAATTCCCTTGAAGAAATGTGTAGGATCTGACTGCACCCCATGAAGAGTGTTTTTCCCAACAAGCTGTTCCCAGGGTGTTGAAAAGCTATCATTCATAAAAAATTATTGAGGGGGAAGGAGGTAGCAAAGGGGAGTTCAGAAGGCCAGGGATGCCAGTGGAAACCACAGAATGAGACCCTCTGTAAAGCACGCACCTGTTTACGGCCACCATAATAGCTTAACTAAAAAGCTTAAAGTTCCAAATTGTGGGGAAGAGGGGGAAAGGGGAGAAAAGAGAAAAAAACATAATGAAAGCTTGTTCTAATATCAAAATACACTTTAACCCATGGACTGCAGGCTCACCATGGATGGCTGCAAGTTAGAATAAAGCGCTAACAATGGTAAATACACAGAATTGAGGAGGACACTCTTCAAACACATCTTGGCATCATTAAATAGATGTGGGCTTTGGCCAAAGACTGGAAATATTTATTTCAGCACTTTATAAAATATGTGGCTAAAAAACCTTGTTTATTAAATAATATGTAATTATTCTAATAATTTGTTTGCTAAATAATGTTTAATATTGGCCCAGAAAGCGGTTGAGAGTAGAGAGTAGGTGCCAAAGTCTGTCTAAATGCAGTAACGAACAACTGTAACAAAGTGATTACAAGGCAAGGAACAGAGAGTGAAGCAACCCTGCAAAAACTTGGATGATACACAAACGTTCAGAATGACAAAGAATGTGCTGTAATTCCAATGACACTATTAGTAAAATCCTTTGGTGATCTGTAACAATGTTATGAATGCACTCTGCACTCAGTGAGTGGTAAAAGTGACACACTCACATCTGTTGGCTCAGCTGAGAAGGCTTGACATTAAGGATGAGACTCCTCACAGGTATTAAGTCAGTAAAGATATTTTTGCTTTTTCCCCGCAGAAGAAGCTAGGCATTTCCATTCATTATTCCCTTATGGAGTCGTTTTGTTGACATTTTCGCCAAGACTTCTCAAATCATTCTGAGAAAACAAATCTTACATTGAATTGAGGGAAACCACAGGCAGGAGGAATGCACGTATTCACAAAGAAGACAGGTTTAAACCTTTTATCTTAAGCAAGGCTGGGAGGCTGGCTTTGATGCAGAGCCTCTGTCTTGTTACAAACTAACACTAACACTTCTGGCAGAATCTATCATGATGGGCCTATATGAAGCAGAACAGGAGGGCTGCCGCAGGAGTTAGAAGGGGAACATGGGGTAATACAAGACAGCTGTATGTTTCTTTTAATCAATATTATTAGCCCAACACTCTCCCATTTATTAATAGACAAGTAATACTGCATCTATTTCTTTGGTCTTGTTCATATAATCAGCCTACTGAACCTCATCTTCAATCAAAAGAAGGATCAATCTATAATTGCAGAAGAAACATGTGGTGCACAGTAAAAAGGGGGTTAAGGAACAGAAGTATCACCTGCTCTACATTCTCTGTCTGGGACAACATGATTATTTTAATGGTTTATCACCAAAGGGCTTTGATCTCCAAAGCCTGCCTTCAAATAATAATAATAATTTAAAAAAAAGCTAACACAACTCGGCAACTTAGACTGTTTAGATCCATATTTCTAGTCCTAGTTATGCAGCAAATGTAGGCAACTACATCTACACTCAACAAATAGGTAACCTGAAGCAATTTGATTCTTCTTCTGCCACCCACCAGAAAAATAAACCCATAACCCCACAAAAATAGAAAACATTGCAAAGCCCACTTCAAGATACTGATCTTGCAACGTGAGACCACAACTCATGCAATCATGAGGTGGTCAAATTCAAGATTCTCAGGACAGTGAGAAGAGCGTGCAGCAAGCTCACTGCCCTGGACTTCAAGAGGGCAGACTTTGGCCTCTTCAGGAGCCTGCTTAGTAAGGTTCCATGAGATACAGCCCTAGAGGGCAGGCAGGCCCAAGACTGTTGGATGATATTCAAGGATCACTTACTACAGGCTCGGGAGTGTTGCATCCCAACTAGAAGGACGTGCCCAGTTAGAATTAAACTTGACTAGGTATGTGAAAGACAACAGGAAGGGATTCTATAGGTACATAGCAAATAAAAGACAGACTAGGGACAATTTAAGCCCTTCCCGGAAGCTATCAGGAGAACTGGCTACCCTGGATGTGGAGAAGGCTGAGGTTCTGAATGACTTCTTTGCCTCAGTCTTCACTGGTGAAGGCTCTGACCGCACCACCCAAGTTTTGGAGGGCAGATGCAGGGACTGTGAGAATGGAGACCTTGGGCCCACTGTAGGAGAGGATATGGTTCGAGACCATCTTAAAAATCTGAACGTGCACAAGTCCATGGGTCCTGATTAAATCCATCCATGGGTCCTGAAAGAGCTGGCAAATGAAGTTACTAAGCCATTGTCCATCATATTTGAAAAATCATGGCAGTCAGGTGAAGGTCCCGATGACTGGAAAAAGGGAAATATAACCCCCATTTTCAAGAAGGGAAAAATGGATGACCTGGGGAATTACAAACCAGTCAGTCTCACCTCTGTGCCTGGCAAAATATTGGAGTAGATTCTCCTGGAAGGCATGCTAAGGCACATGAAAATCAACAAGGTGCTTGGTGACAGCCAGCATGGATTCACTAAGGGAAAATCCTGCCTGACCGATTTGGTGGCCTTTTATGATGGGGCTACAGAACTGATGGACAGAGGTAGAGCAGTTGATGTTTTCTACCTGGATTTGTGCAAAGCATTCAACACTGTCCCACATGACATCCCTGTCTCTAAATTGGAGAGACAACAATTTGATAGATGGACCACTCAGAGGATAGAGAACTGGCTGGATGGCTGCATGCAAAGAGTTGTGGACAATGGCTCAATGTCTGGCTGGAGACCAGTAATGAGTGGTGTCCCTCAGGGATCGGTGTTGGGACCGGTCTTGTTTAACATCTTCGTCACTGACATGGACAGTGGGATTGAGTGCGCCCTCAGCAAGTTTGCCAATGACACCAAGCTGTGTGGTTCGGTTGATACGCTGGAGGGAAGGAATGCCATCCAGAGGGACCTTGACACGCTTGTGAGGTGGGCTGATGCCAACCTCATGAAGTTTAACCATGGCAAGTGCAAGGTCCTACATCTGGGTCGGAGCAATCCCAGGCACAGCTACAGGTTGGGCAGAGAAGAGATTCAGAGCAGCCCTGCAGAGAAGGACTTCGGGGTGTTGGTCGATGAGAAACTTAACATGAGCTGGCTTCAGTGTGCGCTCGCAGCCCAGAAAGCCAACTGTATCCTGGGCTGCATCAAAAGGAGTGTGACCAGCAGGTCGAAGGAGGTGATCCTGCCCCTCGACTCTGCTCTCGTGAGACGTCACCTGGAGTATTGTGTACAGTTCTGGTGTCCTCAACATAAAAAGGACATGGAACTGTTGGAACAAGTCTGGAGGAGGGCCACGAGGATGATCAGGGGACTGTAGCACCTGTTGTATGAAGACAGGCTGAGAAAGTTGGGGCTGTGCAGCCTGGAGAAGAGAAGGCTGCGTGGAGACCTCATAGCAGCCTTCCAGTACCTGAAGGGGGGGGTATAGGGATGCTGAGGAGGGGCTATTCAAAAGGGACTGTAGTGATAGGACAGGGTTAATGGGTTAAAACTTAAACAGGGGAAGTTTAGATTGGATATAAGGAAGAAGTTCTTTACTGTGAGGGTGGTGAGGCACTGAAATCGGTTGCTCAGGGAAGTTGTGAATACTCCATCCCTGGCAGTGTTCAAGGCCAGGCTGGACAGAGCCTTGGGTGACATGGTCTAGGGTGAGATGTCCCTGCCCATGGCAAGGGGGTTTGAACTAGATGATCTTAAGGTCCTTTCCAACCCTAACTATTCTATAACTCCAGGCATTCCACACAGAACATGATAGGTTCTTATCATTCTTCCCACTGTTCTTCCTAGGTATTCCTGTACCCAAATTCAGTATCAAGTCCTGGCATTTCCAGTAACAAAATATTTTCAGAAATTACTGAGAAGAGATAATCACATAACCACTTAAATAGACAAGCTGTGGATTTTATAACTAATTAGCCAAAAGAAAGTCCTTTGCATGAACACTGACTTCCTCATTATTCCCCAATTTGCCCATAAGCAGTTTATCTTACAAAAGCCCACACACCAGTTTTACGATCTGTTTTGTGTGAAATGTGTCAACACATCACATGCTAATGCGTAACGTTAAACCAATTTCTCAAAGTTGTTTTTTTAAAGCTGTATATACAGGATTTATCATGAAAATCCAAGAAAATGCTTTTATAAGCATTCATTAAATAGCTCACAGAGAAGACTTTAGGAGTGACCATCCCCCTGTACTGGATACCAGTGAAGCTGCTTCTTGAATCCTGTGTTCAGTTCTGGGCCCCTCACTACAAGAGAGACATTGAGGTACTGGAGTGGGTCTAGAGATGGGCAACAAAGCTGGTGAAAGGTCTGGAGCACAGGTGTGATGAGGAACAGCTGGGGGAACTGGGGTTGTTTAGTCTGGAAAAGAGAAGGCTCAGGGGGGATCTTATTACTCTCTCCTACTGCCTGAAAGGAGGTTGTAGTGAAGTGGGGTCAGTCTCTTCTCTCAAGTAACAAGTTACAGGATAAGAGGTAACAGCCTCAAGCTGCAGCAGGGGAGCTTTGGACTGAATATTAGGAAACATTTATTTACAGAGAGGGTGCTCAGGCATTGGAACAGGCTGCCCAGGGCAGTGGTGGAATCACCATCCCTGGAAACAGTTAAAAATTTGTAGATGTGAGACTTAGTGACATGGTTTAGTGGGGGACTTGGCAGCCCTGGTGTTAACGGTTGGACTCAATGATTTTAAAGGTCTTTTCCAACCTAAACAGTTCATGATTCTATGATTATAATAAGTTTTAGTAACCACAGGTTTGAACCCCAAACAGCTGAATCACCTCTATACCCAGAGTTAAGACTTGATAAATTGTTAGGACTTGATAAATTGAGATAAATTACATAATCCATATTGTTTTTCTTATTGTTGTGCTGTGAATACAACATAGGTATGCATTTCTGAAAAACAGGTCAACAGTAGAATAGGTATCATTAACATTTACCATGCTTATGATTTTAGAGTTAACACCACTGTTGAGAGGCCTGTTCAGTTCACACATTTCAGATGTAGTTTTGAGACTTCCTTGAGGCAGCATAGCTTTTGTGCTTTCATCACATTTTCAAAACCCCAAGAGAAGAAAATCTCTTAGAACACCACTACAAAAAAAAAAACAACACAAAAACCAAAGTAGAGATGGGGCTGTTCATCTTATAACAAATACTGATTATGAACACAGTCAGCAGTGTTCAACAAAAAGTGCTAAGATACTGAGAACTCTTGAATTATTACAAAACACCCCACCAAAACTAAAGGCATTGCATACCAACTCCACAAGTGGACAGACAGGTTGAAATAGTTTTTGAATGACAAAGTGAAAATTCAAACAGAAATTCCTTTTTTTTTTTTTTTCTTTTGTGCCATTGTGTCTCTAAACTGATGTTTGCTTGTACTCAAAACTGGTAGGAAACTTTCAAGTTTAGCATAAATGTTTTATGGAAGTCACCTGAAGTACCAATGAGACCAAGTACAAGTTCATCTTATAGAATCACAGAATGGTTTGGGTTGGAAAGGAGCTTAAGATCATCCAGTTCCAACCCCCCTGCCATGGGCAGGGACACCTCACCCTAGACCATGTCAGCCAAGGCTCTGTCCAACCTGGCTGTGAGCACCACCAGGGACAGAACATTTACCACTTCTTTGGAAAATCTGTTTCAGTGCCTCATCACCCTCAAAATAAAGAACTTCTCCCTTATATTTACCCTGATCTTCCCGCTTTAGATTGAACCCATCACCCCTTGTCTTATTGCTGCAGTCCCTGATGCAGAGTCCCTCTCCCCAGCATCTTTGCAGGTCCCCTTCCGATACAGGAAGGCTGCTATGAGGCCTCCACACAGTTTCTCTTTTCCAGGCTGAACTGCCCCAAATTTCTCAGCCTGTCTTCATAGGGGAGGTACTCCAGTGATGCCTCTACACCAATACTGGTGAGGCATTAGCTGTGCTTCTGTGTAACATCTCACTGAGGTGAGATGTCATGCAGCAAAAAGAGGATGAGGTTAATTTTAAATGCTCTGGACTCTTTCTTTACCTACAACTGCTTTTTCCTATGAAAACATGAAAAATTAGAATTCTGATTTATTTACATATTTTCTGATTTTCATTTAAATATTCTAATTATTTTGTATTTTCTGACAGAATTGGCCCTGTTGCTTTAATTGCCTTATCAAACTCAAGGATGCTTTACTGTCTGGCTCTTCCTAAAGGATAACTTTTGGACAGTAAAGTTCTACAACTGTCAGAGTCCATTAGGAATGCTGCAAAATAATTATGCTCTCTCATTTGTTTTACAAACAGACTGATAACACATTGCCCATCTTCCAGTAGTCCTCTCTCAGACTTAAGCCATTCCCTCTCTCACCCTCTGAAATCCAGTTTTATTTATTGCTATCTTCTCCAGTCCATGCAGCTCCTAACTCCATGTTAGATGGACACCAACAGCAGCCAGTGAGATGTGCAGAGAATCTCTCAGTTCTTGATTTCTTTTGCCAGCACCACATTAGTGAAGTGCAGTAGCTGCTGAAAACGCCATGCTCAGGCACTCGATTCATGAGTGGAACAAAGACACTGCAAAAGCAAATTTAGCAGCTCAGCTCTCACAAGCCTCTACTTACAATGTATAAACTAAGGATTTCCAGATCTTACAATCTGGCCAAATTTGGGCTGAATTATGACAGAGGAAAATGCATAACCCTCATTTATATTCGGAATAGTCTTTAAAATAATTATTTTAGGGATAGCATATACGAAACCACTGTCATCTTCTCATCCTCATAAATAACTGGATCTTATCAGAAATCACTGAGAGGGAAAGTTCCTGTGAAGAAACCAATTAAACCTAAAGCCGCATGGAAAATTTCTCCACTTGAATGGTTATAATTTGGCCAAGCTATAAGCAACTGGAATCAGATCTTAACATGGAAAGCATCATTTAACTCTAAACAGAGACACTGCTAACAGGTCTGGCTATAAACAACAAAGACCTAAATATCTTCCACATGTAACACAGCAAGAAGTATTTGTCTTCAAGTACATGTCATCAGCAGCATGCATGTTATTACCCAGCTGTGGCCTCAACACACTGCAGAGAAGCTCTAAAGGAAATTAGGACAGTGATAAAGCCTTGGGGCTGCTTTCCTCGGGAAGGATACAGGCAGTTTGCAGAGCTCTCCTCTGCAGGGCAATGGGCAGTCTGGTCAGAACCTTGGACAGCAGTGGAGGAACTCCATCGCTCCCTAGCTTCGGACCCCAGAGGCATGTATCTCACAAGGAAGCCTCGGAATCATAGAATCCCAGGTTGGAAGGTACCCCAAGGCTCATCTAGTCCTACCTTTCTAGACTAAGCATGACCTAGACTAGATGTCCCAGCACCCTGCCCAGCTGAATCTTCAAAGTGTCCAACACTACAGAGTCCACCACTTCCCTGCTAATATCATTCTCACAGTGGATTTTTCTCATTGTGAAAAATTTTCCTCGTGTCCAGTTGGAATCTTCCCAGAAGGAACATGTGACCATTACCCCTTGCCTTTTCTATATAACCCTTGTAAAAAGGGAGTCTCTCTCTTCTTTTTGGTCACATAGAATAATAGAAATGGCATATAATCATAGAAGTCTACTTAAGAGTACCATATGACAACAGCAAATTCTCTGTCAACATAATCCAATTATATAGTTAAGGCTAGATAGCAAAATTTAAAGTAATTTTCGGTGCAGCCACACATTTTTAGTGGTTTTTTTATTTGCAAATAAATTAGTGTTTTTTGGGATTCTCACTACGTAAACACTCATACTAACCTCAAAAGACAATGCCAACTGCTATTTAAAGGTTGTGACAAAGGCATTAACTGCCTCCGATTTTATTTTTTGTTGGTTGTGCTTAAAAATGTATTTTACAAGTGCTTTACGCAAAACAAACTTTAATAGAAGCAGTGAAAGTTTAGTTCTTTGCAGGCAATTAAGCTTATTTCTCACAACTTGCAAGAATGCTCTTTAAAAATCTATCCACTTATGATGAAAAAACAACTCTCTATTCCCTTTTTTATAAAAAAAAAACCAGACCTAAAAAAAAAAAAAGATTTGATCACTATTGTTTGAAAGCACTCGAAAGCAATAAGATGGTCACAAGGCTTGATCTGACTGTTCTGCCCCTTTACAAACTCAATAAAGCTTGCTTTTTATGACTGATTGCTGTGCTGTATTAATCCCTCAGCATATAAAACAAGCCTATTGGAGACTGGGACTCCACTGGGGGAGGACAGGGAAGCTGTTGTGTTCTGAGAATTAATCCATCTAGGAAAATCAAAAGCCAGCCACTCACAATACAGTAATCAGCATGTTCTCCAATGTGAAAGCCCTACATTTCCCATTTAGAAAACACAACTATTACTCCACTATGTACTGAAACACACAAAACCCTTTTATTTATCTGTGTTTATTATCATTTGGCTTATATTTATGGGTTTGTGTGTATCCCACTGGTGGGTATACAACCATCAAGTTAAAAAAAGCCAAACACTGTCTTTTCCCAACTGCTTAAAAGGAAAAAAGGACTCCTACTGCTTTTTCCACAACCAAAGTTCCTTCTGGATTTCCTTTGTGACCAGGATTTTAACTCTTTATTACCCTAGATAAGAGGAAATTCTTTGCATGTTTTCCTTACACAGAAAGTTAATTTTCTTTTCAGAATAATTATGGGTTCTTTTTCCTCATGTTCCTAAATTGTGTAACATGAATTTGCTAAGTAGCGGTGCTAAAATAAAAAACACTGAAGTTTTGTAATTACTCACCTGGAAAATATTCCACTTTACTTCTAGGTGCTATTATACTTGATGCTCCATCAGCAAAAAGTTTAATCCTTTCCTTTTAAAGTTGAATGATGAAGACCTGTGAGTATTTTTTTCTAAAGAGCAAAGTTGTTTTGTTGTTGTTGTTTTTTTTTTTTTTTTTTGCCATTTGGGTGCTATAAGTATGATTTTTCCGTTATGGAGAAAAAGATTAAATAACTGAAACAAAACCAGCTGTAACTCTAATGTGACATAGTAATTAAACTGCTAAA